TAAAGCTAATGGTTATTCACGGTCCCCCATAAGCATGGTGTCACACCAAACCCGGCCGTAATGGGTTTAGTACCTGTAACCGACAGTAATCCGAGATTACCGAAGCCTGCAAAACATTAATACAGTTAAAACAGAGTACAGGGCCTGGCGAAGCCAATTACAGTAATTAAACAAATTCCAATGAGCTGTGTCAGTGCTTGTATGCAAAAGATTTTTCATGCATTTCATACATAACATGTACAGAACCGTATGTACAATATTTACATTCATTCAACTAGGGACTCACCCACAAAAACGTACAGAAAACATTCCGTCTCTGTTACAAACAGTAACGGTCTAACAAAATTTACATCACACAGTACAGGGACCTAATCCCTTGAATAACAGTACGGTAAACATCAGTCTATACAGAACAGTTAGACAGTATGGGAGACAGCCGGGGAAAACAAACAAAACAACCCCAAGCCATAGCATGCAACTCGGAACCTCGAGCAGTGAGGCCAAAAGGCTGGCTTGACAAAACTGGAGGTTACCCTGACGCTCCTAGCTTCCGGTCTGGTGCCTGACACCTACATTAGTATATTGAGCAGTTGAGCTAAAGCCCAGTAATAACATAATGCGTAAAGGGGTTATAGAATGAATGTCCCTTACAGTTAATGAAAACAAGCTTCAACTCAAACAGTACTTTCAATTATTCCAAGTACAGTAAACGTATAGTGGTACATCCATTAGCATAACCGAACGAGTAGGTCCTTAAAAGACCGAACAGTAATGATGGCCATCAGTCATAAACAGTAGTGTTCCACGAGGGAACCGACAGAGAATTCTGTGCGCAGTAAGCAGTAACAGTAAACAGTAACGTACTAAGGATGCCACAGACAGTTCAGAAATAAAGACATACATTCATTCAGTAAATAAACCAGTTCAGTAAAAACATTCAGTTCAGGTATGTCAAAAGATAATCAGTTGAACATATCTTTAACACAATTGTTACTCACAGAGTTCTGTCGTACAGTATGCTAGAGCGTGTCTCCCCAGTTGCCAACCCTACACAGTTCACAGTTGAACACCACACTAAGCTACACAGTTGGGAAAGATAACAACTTAATCCACTAATGCCTCGTGTGTTTCTACATCTATATCTTCAACAATGCCTTAAACTAGGCCTAAAAATGCCTAGAATGGGATGAGGATGCAAAAGATGCACATTTAAAAGCATTTTCAGAATTTTCAGAAAAAACAGAGTCCGCTCGACGCGCAGGTTTCCCCGCTCGAGCGTACAGTGCAAACAAAGGACAACGCTCAGCGTAAACTTTCCCGCTCGAGCGTACTGTAAAAGTACTGGATGGGTTGAAATCCCCGCTCGACGCCCGCTCGAGCCTGAGACATGACTCGCTCGAGCGCCCAATCCTCCGCTCGAGCGAGACTGTAAAATAGTGCAAGATGCTGGAAGCTCATTTTCCCGCTCGAGCGGCACTTCCCCGCTCGAGCGGACGACTGAAATCTGGAAATCCAGATTCGAGCTCCAGGTTCAAAACCAAGCTCACAAGCATCAAAACCAATCCTCTTGGGCCCATTTTCTGGAAAACATTTATAAACACATAAGAATATCATGTTTCAAAGCTCGATTTTAAGAAATCAAAGCCCAAGGGTGTTTCAATTAAAACCATATTCAAACCATTTCAAGAATATGAAGAACATGCAAACATGCATGGATTCAAACCAATTCAAAGCTTCAATTTGATGCTCTAAGGAGCCAAATCTTTCAAAAATGATGAGTTCTTGGTCTCTACTTCAACATGAACAATGCATGTAACATTTTGCCATGAAACAACTCAAACACTACATTACTAACATGCATGCATGAAATGGGTTCCAAATCAACATCAATGAACCAATTCTAGACTTGAATCACTAGAGGCTTAAGAATCTTACCATGAATGAGCTTAAACACAACAAAGAGGGTTGAATCTCTTACCTAGAGCCTCAATTACAAGTGTAGGACCACAAAGCAACAATCAACCTTCAATCTCTTCAATTCTAAGCAATATTGAAATGAACTCAAGACTCTCACTTCTCTCTCTCTAAATTCGGCTAGAACAAGAAGAAATGGCTAGCAAATGTGTTTTGATTCAAGTATAAGGCTGAAGTGTGTGTATTTGAGTATGTGCCCACTCAAAGGGCATAACGTAAATAAGTCCAACTCTTAATTAGCTTATTTAATCTATTTAATCATACCTAATCACTTTTCAGATAATTGTACAATAAATCACATAAATTACGAGGTATCTCTCTCTTTTTATCATTATTATTATTATTTATATTATCTATATTATTATTATTTATATTTTGACCCTTAAACTTTTAATAATTATATTATTTTATAAAATTACACATAATAATATACAATAAATTATATATTTTCCGAACTGAGATTAAATAATATTAGTATAAATTCTACATAACAATTAAAAACCTGAGTTGTTACACCAAACATACCCTAAAATTTTTTAAAAAGTAAAACAAGCAAGATAATTATTATTTTAAATTAATTTATTACCGCTAAATTTCGTAACACGTGATGTCAAAAAAAAATTATTGTCAGTGCCTTCGGCCACGGTTATCTCTGGTGTGTATATATATTATACAGAGGGTAAACCCTACCCTAACACTCCCTCTGACTCTCCTCTCTCTTTATCTCTTCCGTCTTCTATGTCGTCGCCTCTGGTGGCTCCACCGGCAACCACCACTGTCGCCGCCACGACCACCTCCTCCCTTACCGCCCTCTCTCTCTTCTCCTATTCTCTTCAGCGATCTTCATCGGTCGTCTACTTCGTCTTCTCCACTCTTGTCATCAATTCCAAAACCCTAAACCTACCTTCGATCTTCTCCAATCCCTCCACAAGCCATATGTTCGAATCCAGACCCTACACTCCCCTCAACTGTTTCAGAACCTTTGTCTACAAAGGACTACCGCTGGACTCATCAGAACGACGATCTCGAATAGGCTGATTGCAATGAGAAAGATCAGGCGGCGAGGCACATTAATGCGTTAGAAACAAAATCGGAAGATGGGCAGTTCATCTTTGCCCTAATTTTTCTCTCCATTTTATGTGGTGCATTTAGGTGAGGAAAAAAATTACCTCCATGAACATTAATTTATTCATGTGCATTTTCAATTTTTAGAGAATCATTTTTGTTCGTGCTTATTTTAAGAAACATTAAGAAAAGAAGAAGAGAGAGATAGATAAATAAATAAAATAAAATATTCATACATTATCATCTATCATGTATATTTCTATCTTTGGAGAACCATTTGTGGCAGTATTTTTTACATTTAAATCATAAACATTTTAAATTAATTAATATACATTATACTTCATTTGTTTTAAGTTTTATTCAATATAAGTGCTGGCTAGTAAGGAGGAGATAAGGATGGCTGGGGAGTTGAGGTTTCCTTCTATTATTGTAGAAGGTGATTTGCAGGGTGTGGTGGATATGTTTAATGTGAATAGCGAAATGGACCAGACTGTGGCTATTATTCTTGATGATATGATTCAACCTTGGAGTTTGTTGATGGATTGCAGGATCTGCTTTGTTAGGAGGGCTGGAGTAAGGCCCATTTGGTGGCTAGATTTGGGGTTAATGGGGGTGGGGAAGTATTGTATTTGAGTTAATGGTTATTTATCAAAAAACAAAAAAAGGGAAAAAAAGGGTATTTGGGCTAATGGTTTATTGCAATGGTGTAAATGTTTTCAATTGATTACTGCTTTTAATATTCTGTCAGGGGGGAAAAAAAATCTTACATTACCTTCATGGGGACCTTTTGTTGTAAGTCGAGATGCATTTTTGGGAATCTTCTATCATCTAGCATTTGTTTTTCCAAAATAAAACCACCTTCAATCAAGTGGAAAGGAGCATTTTTTAATACAATCCAAGAACAAATGTAAGAATGTGTTGAAGTTGAACAATAAAAAAAGTGACATGGAAAAGCAACTTTACATTTTTGCATTTTCAAGTTAATCATGCCATTTCTTTCTAATTGTTTTACATATTATGAGAGCCAAATCTAAACTTCTACATTCATCTTAGGACATGGAATCTAACAGAGATTCTTTATCTCTTCCCTAAAGTAGGCATGTATCTTTATGGATAATTTAAGCCTTTGAGGTGTAAAAAATAGAAATAAATAAATAAAATAATCTTAAAATCAATAAATAAAATAATCTTAAAACATGAAGTATCTAACAATTATACTCAACAATTACATTAGATCACTCAGGTTTTTGGTTGGGGAAGCATCAAATCCCTCAATTACATTGAATCACAATAGAGAGTAGCTAGAAAGCACACACCAACCTAATCAGAATGCTTCTGGCTGTTGAAGATGCTAATTTTCACATCTAACCTATTCTAAATTGATGTAAATTCTGTTAGGCAACACAGTTTACTCTTGCAACACAAAAGGTGAAGCTAAAACCAAAAAAAAGAAGAAGAAGAAGAAGAAGAAGATAAGAAACGATCAATTTATTTGTATATAATTCTTCAAACTAGGAAAAGTGTTTCATAACTCTTCATATTCAGAATTGGCCTCCTGCTAATGTACAATAAAACCTATCTCTGCAGTAGACTGGCTTTCCATCAGCAGCTTCAGCAGCAGCTGCTGCTAGATCATCATCAGACTTCACCTCCACTGGTAATCTTAGCAGCTCATCTTTTCTATATATTTATATTGACATATCTGTCCTACAGTTGTTACCTATTCAACTTTGATTTTTTCTTTTTTTAAACAGAAGAGACCATAGATGCTCTTTTAGCAAGTTGCTTGACTTTAAGACTTGTATATAGAGATTCCAATAATTAACTTGAAGCTTTAACTTCCTCTGAATCAACTACCAACCATCTCTGCTTTATTGTGAGAATCATGGTAGCAATGATAACACACATACATGGATCTGTTTAAGCTGCCCCTGTTTGGCCATTGAAAAAGCGTTTGCCAAACGCCACTTAACATAGTACTTTATTATTTATTCATTTCGTATTATTCATCTATTTTTAGCAAATTACAGCGGCATATTGCAAAGTGGGTTTGCTATGTTCACACATAATGCTCTATCAGATTATATCCCAATTATGCTTTATCCTGATGTCTCAAATTATTTTAACTACATCATGAGTTTCTCTAAACATGATAAGGCGAGAGAATTGGTGACTGGGGATTGATCTATGTTTTATCATTATAAGTGTTTCAAAATTATTGTTAAAAAAATAAAAATAAAAAAAATTTATTTTGTCATTAAGATTTGTTAGAATGGACTACTCCATTTCGAGAGAAGTTATTTTGTATTCTTGAGACAATATCCTATACTTTTTAAGAATAATATGATTACATAAGTGCATTATGTGTCTAAATAAAAGAATTTACAGGATCATGCGAATTTTGAAGATGATTGCCTAGGAACATGTCATAACCTTTTCCATTATAACTGAAGCAAAAATGCTAGAGGCCAAGAAACCAACTTTGGAAAAATAGAAAGAAAAATTTGTATGGCTTAGATTTAACACTTGTATAGTAAGTCCACACTTGAAATAAATTTTTCTTTGTATTTTTTATTTTTGTTGGTAATTAGTTTCTTGATCTCTAACATTATTATAAATGGAGTGGATCCAACTATAAAGAATGTGTTGGTGGGAGTTGAACATTCGGCATTTTTTCTTTTTATTTTTTTGGTTGAGTTCTTAGCTTGGTCACTTCAAATGTTTCAAAGGATTCTGCATGTAAGGCAAAAGAAGCTAGTTTACCTCATCTTTGATTGAACTACAAATGAATTTGCATTTCACCTTACTCTGATGTTGATTTGTAAGAGCCATCCTTCACAACTTTTTTCTTTGAACTCAAATTTGTAGTTAAAAAAATAAATTAAAAAATTATCTTTTCTTGAAACTTATCGTAAATTAAAAAATAATGTTTTTATGAAATTAAGAATGAATCAAATCATTAAATTTTAAGAATTATATTTTGTTCAAATTTAGTAAAATTTTAAAAACCATAAAGATTGGATGTGATTGAGGTTTTTATAAATATTTTATAAATTGGTGTTTTCCATTTTGCTGTTATGGATTTTCTATTCAAACTTGGAAGAAATAGAAAATTCCAAGTTGGTGGTATAGTGATGCAGGGCATTTTCATATAATTGGATCAATTGTCATAATCATCAAACCCACAAAAAAAGTCTTACTTCTTAGGTGATATTGATCTGAGAGATACTTCTCAGGTGATATTGAAGACAATGAGTGTTTCTTCAAAAATTCGAACTTCCAAATCATTGTTTGCTTATAAAGATTATTTACTTGTCTTTCACTGTAAGGCTGAAGATGTGTCACACATTCAAACTTCCAAATCATTGTTTGCATTCTTGCGGAAATACGGTCAGCTATGGCCTAGAAACATCCTAAGGCCCCGTTTGTTTAGGGTTATAGGGAGGGGATTGGGATTACTAATCCCTTGGGTATTACTAATGGGGTGTTTGTTTTGAGAGATGGGGAGGGGACTATTAATCCCTTGGTATTAGTAGTCCCCTTGGAAGGGAGATTGGTAAGGAGGAGATAGAGATGGTATTAGAAAAATAGTGAGGGGATTAGAATTTTTTTTATTTTTTTTATTTTTATATATTGGGAATTTTTTTTAAAATATTAATGTTTAATTTTTTATATTTTTTTATTTGTTTTATTATTTTATATAAAAATAATTTAACAATTCCTCACTACTAATCCTCTCACTATCAATCCCCTCACTAATAATCCTCTCACTATCAATCCCCTCCATTCTTTCTCTGAAAACAAACGGTGCCTAATAGTTTTCGAACATGGATGCTTACACATACACCTTCCTACATAAGTATGATGTCTTTGACATTAAGAGTTTTTTAATGATTATTGTGGAATAATATATTTCCAAAATTTCTATTCAGTGTGTTTGGTTTAAGTTTTTTGAAAATTAAGTTTTTTGGTTTTCGTATTTTTTTTTGTTTTTAGTTAATATTTTTAAAATTTTAAACATTTTTTTTTTGGTATTACTAATACCCTTGGGGAGGGGATTCATAATGAGGAGGTAGAGATGGTATTAGAAAAATAGTGAGGGGATTAGAAATTTTTTTATTTTTTTTATTTTTTATATATTGGAAAAAAATTTTAAAATATAATTTTTAATTTTTTATATTTTTTTATTTGTTTTATTATTTTATATAAAAATAATTTAACAATTCCTCACTACTAATCCTCTCACTATCAATCCCCTCACTAATAATCCTCTCACTATCAATCCCCTCCATTCTTTCTCTGAAAACAAACGGTGCCTAATAGTTTTCTAACATGGATGCTTACACATACACCTTCCTACATAAGTATGATGTCTTTGACATTAAGAGTTTTTTAATGATTATTGTGGAATAATATATTTCCAAAATTTCTATTCAGTGTGTTTAGTTTAAGTTTTTTGAATTAAGTTTTTTGAAAATTAAGTTTTTTGGTTTTCGTATTTTTTTTGTTTTTAGTTAATATTTTTAAAATTTTAAACATTTTTTTTTACTTTTTAGATGCACCTTACTTAGATGTATCTAAAAAGTAAAAAATTTGTGAAAAAATATTTTAAAAAATTAATAAATACATAAAAATACAAAAAATGTATTGAATTCTCATGTTTTTTTTTTTGTATTTTGGGTATTTAGTGAATTTTTAAAAGGTTTTGTTCACAAATTTTTTACTTTTTAGATACATCTAAGTTAGGTATGTCTAAAAATTTAAAAAATTGCTTAAACTATTAAAAAAATCAGTAAAAACAAAAAAAACGGAAAATAAGAAAGTAGAATTTTCTGAAAAGTGTTTCTAACCAAGCATAGTGATTAGTTTTTTTAAAAAGGAAAAAGTAAAGTTGCTTATGATCTTTATTATGTTGGATAGGATGATGTTTGAAAGGTTCCATAATTGTGGGGTTGACCATTGTCTAGGGATAAGAATTAGGAAAAAGTTGCAGAGATTATTTAGATGTGATCACTTTTTCTTTCATAATTGCTCTTTTGTTTTTACATTTCTGTCATGTCTGCTTTCTTTTAGTAGACACTATCTTCTGGCAGATAATTTGTGCTCTTTGCTTAAATCATAAGTTCTTTAAAGGATGCTCCCATTCCTCTTCCTTCTCCTTTACCTGTTCTAGTTTTAAAGAAATTTTGTATAGAGTGGATTTGCCGAGTATAATGTTCCCCTCTAATGGAAAATGATGATCAAATATGTTCCATGTAGCTCAGATCAGAGTTGGCCTTTTGGGCTTTGTTATTCCAATTCTAATTCTTGTACCAATATCAATTTGAACACTGCTAGCTGCACCATTGTGTTGTAGAATATCAGTAACTTTAGCATGGGGTACTCAGAATTTTTTCTTATGACTTGTTTCCTATTAATATAAAATAGCTCCTATGTCTGGTCATATAGCTTTCCAAATACCATGAATTAGTTACCACTGACCAGAAAGTGAGCATTCAACTAATTGACCATCCATGTGGATCTACGCTGATCAGCTGTTCTCTCTCTCTCTCTCTATTAATTTTTCCCTTGGAATTGAATGTACAAATAATTAGAAAACTGTTTCTTGTTTCTTCTAACTCTCTTTTCTAGGTTCACTGGCAAGAAACTCTACGAGGCTATGCCGCAGGAGTATTAACAACGCAAAGGGTTCTAATTGTTTCAATAGATCTAGATATATTGGCTAACAGTTCCACAAAATTTGATAAAGAACTTCCTTTAATATCCTTAGATGGAAAACTTATTGCATATTGGCTACTTTTCTGATAGTTACACTTTTTATTATATGACATGATTAATAGTTATTAAAATTGTTTGGGTCCTTAACTTATGATTACTTTAGATCCTTTCGCTAGGTTGGACCAGTACTTCTATTTTCAACTGCCACTGCAATCAACGTGCTTGGGTGGGATGGAAAAGTGAGGACAATTCTTTCCATTAGTATGCCCAATGCAGGCAGGTATCATATGTTGTTTTAGTTACTTAAAATGTTTACTTTCATATTTGAGGTTCCTCAGCGTCATGTTATTTTCTTTACTCTTGTTTGATCTAAATATCAACAATTGCGGCTTTGTACTATACCACTACTTTTCTGAGCCATCAAGATGAACTTATTTACAGTGCTGGTTAGTGCATTGAATGATCGATTGTCGCTTGCAAACCCGACCGATAAATCCGAAACCAAAAAAGAAGGTTGAGATAAAGGGTTGTCTTATTGGGCTTTTCGAACCTCTTCTTATTGGATTTGCCACAAAGCAACAGAGTTTTGAGCAGAAACTAGACTTGTCAGAAATATTGTATCAAATAACATCCGGGTTTTCCGTTCCCCTACTAGCAGGCATGTTTGTTTTGTCACATATACTACTCCTTTGGATATTAAACACTTGTTGGATTCTCTTATCCTTTTCATTTCTATTGTTTGGCTTATAAAGATTATTTGTAAAAAGCACTATCAATGTAGATTATTTCATTAAGAAGCATCCAGTAAACTAAAAGAAAATTAATAGAGGAAAGACAACTTAAAAGAGAATTCAAAATTGATGTGTTCACTTGGGCTTGTTTTTGGAAATTCTTGTGTCATTTCTGTCTGGAAGTAGTAGTCTTGTTGTATTCTTTATTTATTTGTTTTTGGGTCTTTTTGTGTGTGTGTGTGTGTGTGTGGGCGTGTGCGCACGAGTTTTGCTCTGCCTTTTCTAGCATTTTGTGCTCTACATGTCTGCACTGTGGTCTCTGTCAACATCTCTTGGTCATTTTGGTTGTGTTTTAGCTCTCTTAATGCCCAGCTAGCTTTGTTTTGGGTCTACGACATCTAATGTTGTAGACTCCGGACGTATTTTTTGAATTGGGATCCTCCCCTTGAGCCCCTCCTTCATTCCCTCCTTGCAGGGGCCTTCGGGTCCACTTTGAGGCCCAGTTTTGATAATCCGAACCGTTCATATTTTTAGATTTATTCAGTATATCATACCTATAAAAAATCAAGTTGATCGAATATCATAAAGTATGTGTTCAGAAAACTATTTATTAAAATATAATTTGCAGTCCCAATTTTTTGAACGCATACTTTCTGATATCCGATCAACTTGATTTTTTACAGGTATAATATACTGAATAAATCTAAAAATATGAACGGTTCGGATTATCAAAACTGGGCCTCAAAGTGGACCCGAAGGCCCCTGCAAGGAGGGAATGAAGGAGGGGGCTCAAGGAGGGGATCTGGACTCGTATTTTTTGTGTAACCTTTTTCTATTTTAGCCTATGAAACATTACTTCTAGAATTCCTTTTTTCCCTTAATTTGTGCAGTAGCCTAGGATTAGAAACACTCGGGTTAATGCAAAATCACAAAGAAAGTATGTCATTTATGTTTAATTTATGGCATGATAAAAATGTCATAAAAAATTAAATATAATATACAAAGTATGTCATTGATGTTTAATTTATTACTTTTTACAACTTTACATATATGCCATAAAAAACGCTCAACTTTTCACGGTATGTCATATAACAATATTTGTGTGTATGTCGTGAAAGAGTTTTTACGACATGCATTGCAAACCATAAAAATTCAATTTTGTTGTATGAAGGGGTGTGAACAGTCAGACTTTATCTTTTGTAAGACTAGAACAATCGCTATATATAGTTAGTTTATTCATTTACTTTTTGCGGTTTTTAAATTAACTTGTGTTTTCATTTTTTAGGTTAGAAATTTCTTGAAGAGATGTAAAATAGGATCAAAGAATTTAAGAACTTAGTTTTTCAAGTTTTTTTATTTTTTAATATATGTAAGCACAATTTAAAATTTTTTATTTAATTTCTTTGTATATACTTTTGAACATATTTAACTTTCATTTATGAAATATATGATATTATTCTATTCAATATTTGTTTGTGATTCAACATATAGTATATAGTGTGTATTACATTCTTGAAATACGTGTACAAAAATAATATTAATTATTCTTCGAATATGTCGACCTCTTTTTTTATTACACGCATTAGCTGTGATGAGAAATGCATATAACATGTGATCTTATCTCATTATTAATCACAGGTTTTATTAGGTATTAATCGCACTTAAAAGATGTGATCTAAATGTTTATTATCACAGTTTTTATTAGTTATTAATCACATTTAAAAAATGCGATCTAAATGTTTATTATCACATGCTTTATTAGTTTTTAATCACACTTAAAAAATATGATCTAAATGTTATTAACTACACTTAAAAGATGTGATCTAAATGTTATTAATCACACTAAAAACATGTGTTTTTAATCACACTTTCAAAGATTACACTTTGATAAAACTTAAAAAGTGTATAACATAGATTACACAGAAAAAATGTAATCTTTATTTGTTTTTGTAGTAATGTTTGTGGCAGTAATTATTCTTTTCGATACAAACCAGGAATTTATAATTTGCACCCTGAAACAAGGACAAAATTATAAATTATGTTTAGGGAGGGCCACGGTGTATGTAATAAAAATTAGTTTTGATAAATTATTATTTTATATATATATATATATATTTATGGGTTATGAAAAAGTAATTTATGAGGATAAAAATAAATAAATCTAACTTTTTTTTTTTTTTTTTAAATCCTTTTATCTACAGTTCTAAACAATTGATAAAATCATTTTGAGTACGCAGCAAAATCATTTTGAGTACGCACCAAATCTCTTTCTCTGATCGATGCACGAAGCGCGCCCAAAGCCTCCACATGATTGGCGTCGGAGAAATACAAAACTTGCTCTGTGCAGAAAGCCAAAACGCAACCCCTAAAATCCCGCACAACAATACCCACCGCAGCTCGACCATCCTTCCCTACAACACCATCAAAGTCGACTTTAACAGATCCATTTTCCAGTGGGCATGATTAACTGTAGCAACAGCCATCCGTTCATTGGCACTAGAGAATTCAGAGAGATAAGCACCCATATATCCTCTGTAAAGAACAATCTCTGAGACAGTGAGTCCCAGTTTCAGCATACTCATGACATCTTTCTCATAAAGGATCCTTAACCGAACCTCGCTTCACAAGTGCGACTTTAACCAGTAGAATTTCCATGCTTGCCCTCCATACAAAGTGTGTGATTTTATTTGGATGCACAGCCCCCACACACACTTCTAAAAAGTTGCACCAGTCGAAGGATTTGACACCAAAGTGGACGGTTGAATAAAACCCATTGCCAACTGATAGGCCGTCTTAACCGAGCAAAAACCACTCTTTGCTTGGTGCCAGATGAATTTATCAGCTGGTGAGTGCGGACTGAGAGGAATTCGATTGATAATTTGTGTCTCAAGAAAATTATCTTATTATATATATTGTGAAAAATGAATGAAATTGAAAGTTAGTAAAATTATTTTTAACAACTTGGAGGCAATCATCATGTACATTTCACAAATCATAAAATATAGAGGAATAAATTTAATTAAAAAAATATTTAGGGGGCGTGCATGACACCTTGTCACGGGCCGATCCTTTTGAGTACGCAGCAAAATTAATTTTTTTCTCATGAGGAGTTTCAACTCTACCAAGCTCAAGCCTGCCTTATCTCTTTTTGACCATTGAGTGCTGAATTTTTCGCCCATTTTGTCAAATGTAAGCCCAATCCTTTATCAAGCAAGAACAACTTCCATAAAAGGAAGCTCGCCTTCCAAATAGACTTGACGTCCACAAGTACACCAAACGCGGCTCGTGTCGTTTCACGGAATCAAACTCGCCTATGAGCAAAGCACTTGCCCATCAGAGACTTGTGTCAGTCAAGGTGTCCTATTTCAGTGTTGTCCACAACTACGCCAATCTGATGTTGCCCAACTATGCACTAACATAGAACCCTGAGCCTAGTTGAAACTTTCCTTCTCATGAATAGGGTCTCTTGTTGTGCCTGCCTTGAATAGCCACTAATGTCTAAGGTCGCATGCTCGGCTACAACTTAATCCTCATGCACGCATTGACATGCTAATCAATCTACAAAGGTCATTGCATACCCGAAGCATTGCACTAGCGTGTTGCACAAGTATGACAACGTTTGCCTATATCCCACAATTAGTATTTCGTCTTCCCACAATATTTGCACAAAGTGCCTCACATGATGGCAATGTTTCATGTCATTCAAATGTTCCAACAAGTAGCGGTGTTGCCAGTACACCATTAGCTAGGCTACATGACCCCTGCGTTCATGGTTGAACCCAAGCTTATGTTTGTGAGTTGACACACTAGGCTTATAGTGGTGCCTGGATAGTCCATGCCATTTGATCTAGGACAACACCACAAGATGTTGTAATGTGCAGCATAGCAAATGCGAGCCTATACATCCCATCGAGATTGGACGCTCAACGTTGGCATTAAAGCTCCTCCTGGCATTGCCCATGGGGTTCCCAAATCCACATGTTGACCAATGACAGCCCTCTTGGTATGTTAAAGGCCCACTGCAAGGTTTCCCTAAGGATGTCCATTTGAAACCCTCATGGTATGTCAAAGGCACTAATGACCCCTTACAGTAGCGTTATAACCCATTTACTAACTGCCATGAAGAAACATCCACCATATTTAAAGAGTCATAATTATTTTTTAATAATTCCCTAATTCTAAGAAAATCCCCAATCTTGGGCGAGCAAAACCACAAACAGCATTGGATATGCTGCTAAGCATGCTCCCTGACATGCATGAGTTGGACTGCTTGGGGCTCAACTCCAAGCTATGTTTGGGTGCCAAACCACTTGACTTGGAATCCGATGTCTAATTCTCATTTCTGTCCGTGGATGTAGGCATTGGGCCGAACCACGTAAATATTGTGTTCTCTGCGTGTGTGAGATAAGTTTCTGGGTGTCTTTGATCCTAACACATGACCCCTGCGTTCATGGTTGAACCCAAGCTTATGTTTGTGAGTTGACGCACTAAGCTTATAGTGGTGCCTGGATAGTCCATGCCATTTGATCTAGGACAACACCACAAGATGTTGTAATGTGCAGCATAGCAAATGCGAGCCTACACATCCCATCGAGATTGGACGCTCAACGTTGGCATTAAAGCTCCTCCTGGCATTGCCCATGGGGCTCCCAAACCCACATGGTGACCAATGACAGCCCTCTTGGTATGTTAACGGCCCACTGCAAGGTTTCCCTAAGGATGTCCATTTGAAACCCTCATGGTATGTCAAAGGCACTAATGACCCCTTACAGTAGCGTTATAATCCATTTACTAACTGCCATGAAGAAACATTCACCATATTTGAAGAGTCATAATTATTTTTTAATAATTCCCTAATTCTAAGAAAATCCCCAATCTTGGGCGAGCAAAAGCACAAACAGCATTGGATATGCTGCTAAGCATGCTCCCTGACATGCATGAGTTGGACTGCTTGGGGCTCAACTCCAAGCTATGTTTGGGTGCCAAACCACTTGACTTGGAATCCGATGTCACACTTGCATATGACATTTTCCAAAGAGAAAAGTTAGGGATCATGAAAATTTTGTCATGAAAATGATTATGAAAGAATTATGATCCTTAGATTACCTTGATTAATTTGTGGTGTT